CCGTGTCTGTATTCGTGCAACCTAGTTGAAAAGTACTCCGTCATGCAAAAGAATAATATAAAGTATTTCGTATTTACTAAAATAATGTCTAGGTCTATCTCTTGAAGTCTTGGTACGTATGTCATATTTATCTATATACTAACTCCGTTTCAAATTAATTAATCAGTCGCAACTCGCAAGACACGTAACTTAGGTAGCTTGATCAGAAAACTAGGTGTTGGCATTTGGATGCATGTCTTCTGAGAAATTTGGAGATCGATGTTGTGGATCGGACTAATGTATGCCTTGGTACTTGGGAAACCATGTACGCCGCTCGGCAAAGCTATAAGGATTTACCAATCGACACCTTCTTGTAGCTTCGGGAATTGAAGCTTACTGCATTGACGGTAACACCTTTCGTTTTTTTTAATTGCTCTACGAAATACGGAGTAGGATTTTTTTTCACTATTTATTTGTCTTATTTCAACCAATATTAGTAATTAATTTATACTTAATAAAAAGTACTGTTTTATAACTAATTGTAGGAAGCATCTCAATTCTCAATCAATGAATTGGTTATTAATATTCGATTATTTGCAACTTATATCGTATTTATTATTGATTTGATCATTAAAAATGTTATTGATCAAAATTTAACATACAATTATGATGAAGCACTTGAATATAAGTAGAGGGAGTATTTTATTGTAGTCATATCAAGTACTTCAAGATCGATAACCGAGTACTTAAACAAGTGCAAATTATTATATTATTATTGCCACATCTAAGCTACTTTATAAACAGGGAATGAATTGGTAGCTTGTCTAGCATCTTATCTGTGCCATTTTCACCAAGTCAATCAAGTTCTCTATTAGCTACTCTTTATCAAGTAATAAGGTAATTCTTAATTTTTATTTTTATTTTTTTATTCTTTCTCAAAATTAAGTTTCGTATGTTTTAATGCATTTGTTACTTTCTTGAAATATCTAGGATTATTAAAAATGGTTCAAAACGTTATTTCCTCCTAAGTTATGCTATTGTCAAAAAATATAAAATACAGAGTTTAAAATAATGATGTTTATTATATAACGTGGGACAACGCACATGTACACAAACTACTATCTATGAGGATCGAAATGGCTAATGAGGGTGTGGTGCACAAGGAAGAATCGGCCATGAATGAGCTAATGAAGCAAGCCGAAGAAGCAAAGTCCCATGATGATATGCTCTTTGGAGGTTGGTTTTACAACAAGAGTACCCACGAACCCATGCACCTCCACGCTTAGTAGATATGGTCTGGGGAATTTTATCATAAATAGTCTGAAATATTTGCAGGATCAACCACTTTTATACAAAGCGAAAAAAAGGAGAAGGGAATAATCAAGGCTGCTGTAGTGTATTCTCTCAAAACTAGTGAAGATCATTCTAATCACTATGGTTTTCTCTTGGCATGGTCTGACTACTTCAATGAAGGAAGAAACACTAGAAAGGTATGTAGTTATGTACGTATGTATGACACTAAAACTTGCACTTCGTAAGTTTTTTTCGTAAATAAATCAACAAAAAATCTCAGTCAGCATGACATTTTCGTAAATAAACCATCATTTGTGAGCCAAAATGAGTAAAAAGTTACTGATCTATTTATGAAAATGCCACTAGATAAACTAATTGCGCCTTCATTTCATAATTTTTTTTGGACTTTTTGTCAAAAACTACCTGATGAAACCCAGATTTTGTTAGAAACTACCTAATAAAAAAAATGTTGTAATAAACTAGGTAAAATGTTATAAAAAACTACCTAAGAAAAGGTAAAATGTTTTAAAATACTACCACCTATACCAAATTTCCACCGTTGACCGACCTCAAAACACTCTCGAAACCACTTTTTCACTCCCAAAACTAACACAACTTGCTTGAAATCGTCTCCACCACACCTAAACCACCTTTCAATTAACCCCAAAACCACCACCTCTAACCTAAAAAACCACCATTCGGAGGCACTAATCTACCCTCACTAACTCGGATTATCCTCCAACCACCTCGAAAATAACTAACCTTACCACCTTAAAAACCAACCCTCACGGTGGTTTCGGGGGTGTTTTAAGGTGGATCAACGTCGTAAAATTAAGTTAACGGTGGAAATTCAGTCAAAGGTAGTATCTTACAATGTTTTTTTTATTAGGTAGTTTCTCATAAAATTTAGGTTTTATTAGGTAGTTTCTCACAAAAAGTTTTTTTTTTAAAAAAAAAAAAAAAATGTTATCTTGTAAACTATTGTTAAAGGTATATATTAAATATATATAGATATAAAAAAAACATAATATCAATGTCATTACTGTATAATCTTTACAAATAAGGTCAGATTATTGCATTGAAAATTGTGTCAAGTTTGACTGTGTCAATTATTATAAAGCAGCGAACATATATGATAAATGTGACGTTATTATGTACGCAAGTCTATGGAGAATGTGGGCTTTTGGAGAAATTCCAAAACATAGACTGGGATAAGGTCGAAAAGGACTTCGACGCTTCCACCCGTTCATGCTCCTACATTGACGCATATACTCGAACTTCAGTGAAGGCTGACATTGCTGCAAATGTAGTGAGTGCTGATTTCATGTGAATGGAATAATGGTCCGCCCTAATTAAGCTAGATATATACGAAGCATTTTGATTGTGTAGCTAGGGCGGACAAATAATCTACTATAAGAAGGTGGTTAAGATCTTATACTTATGTATTATTAGCTACTCACTAGTTATTAGCTAAGCTAGTAATTATTAAGAATGTTAGGTGACATAATAACATACATTTTATATGATGCATGATGTTTTAGCTACTTGTACTGTACTACAGAATACTTAAATAAATAAATATATATATTAATGTGCTTTTTTTAGAGTACGAAGTATGTTCTCTTTACTATTTATACGAGTTTAATTAGGCAACACTTCAGGTTTACTATGCGCATGTAGTCCAATTGGCAAGGCATTGATTTATTTGAGTGAACACCTATGTGTCTGTAGTAATTGATACCGCGCAGAATCGCTGTGTAGCCAAATTGATACCGCGCAGAATCGCTGTGTAGCCAAATTTATATCCCGGTGCATATAAATTTTTAAGTAATCACAACTAAATAGGATTTTGATTAACTTCCTTAGCTCCATCATAGACTCTAACTCTTAATTAGATTAAAGAAGTTCCATTAAACTATGTACTGCAACTTGATGAAGAGTAAATTAAAAATTACCGAGAGATCACAATGTTCACAAAATGTTCTGAGCTAGAGATAAACATAACAAAGAAGAAACCCTCAAGACTAGAGGAGCTAATTATCTTTAGTTTCTCTAAATTTGAATACGAAATTTAAGTAGTTCGAATAACGAATGAACTAGTTGATGGCCTAAGTGATTTGTGGGTCCCCGTATGTAAGAAGAATACATGTATAAAACAGTGAATATAGTTAAAATGATGCATAATAAACGAACGGTATGTAAAAGGCTAAAAGCTAATTGATGATAGGTTGCAAAGATAAATTGGTTGTTGTTTTTCTTTTTAAATAAAGATCACTTTATGTTTTTGACAGGTAAATTACTCAGTACCATAAGTTTGTGTTATTTGTTCATTTATCAAACAACTTAACAATTACAATTATGTACACATAAGTTGGTAAATCATTTATTCCTAATATAATATTGCGAGTTCGATTATATTTTAAGTGTGAGGAGATTCTCCATGAGTTGAAAGACTTTGCAATTTGCATGTAGAAGAAGACATTCTCAATTAAAAAGTTAAAAATAAATAAAGTCATGGAAATGGCACCATGTAATAAAGTAGGACAAGAATTTGATAACGATTCTTTGCTTCTAATTTTTTATTCACAAATTCTTACTAAATCGTGGATGTGAATTGGATTCTTGATTAAATTATTAGCACGTGTACATATAAGATGCCAATTTCGTATACAAGTATATGTTATACAAAGTGTACTCTGTATATTATATTGGTAGTAGCATTTTGGTATTTGGATAGAGTGGCATATCAGATTATTTCTAACTTCTCTCGTTTCATTTTACGGAGTAATTATAATTGCAAATTATTGATTTTAATGTTTACTAATATAACTTCAACCAAATTAAGAAAAAGTTATAAACTAACGAGAATATCTATAGAACGAGCTCCCAACTGAGGGGTAAGGTCCTTTGAAGATTTTTTGAATATTTTATAGTTACTTCAAAAATTAATACTCGTATTATGAAAATATATATTGCATTGAATCTAAGAAAATTCCAATTGACTATTTTTTTTCCTTACTCTGTAAATATTACGAGTAATTACTAATTAAAGACCGTCAAGTATAAATGTTTGAATAGTTGCCAATGAATGTCAAATTAAATTGTTGCGAGTAAAATGGAAGAAATGAAATACATTATTTTGTGTATCTTTTTTTTCTATCTTAGATTAAAGAGACTAATTTTATTTAGCGTTAGTTTTTACATTGTTCAAATGATTGTCTATATATGGCCGATCCATCTTCCTTTATAGGATGGAGAATTATTGGACTACTACTAGAGAATTTCACAGACAACATATATATACAGTAAATACAAGTGCTTAGAATAGAGTTAAACGAAGGATTGCAATTATATCATCCTCGCCTAATTATAGACAATCCTTTAACCAGGTTGAACTACTTCCTCGACACTTATGTATGTATGGGCTTGATGAATCTTCATCATGTCGATTGAACTAACAGTTAAAATCGAGTCAAGTCGGAAAAAATGAACACATTTTCTCCTCTATTCTATCTTGCAAAGGGAGTATGGTATAATCATATCGCGTTGAGGGAGTAGGGTCCTAAGGGCATCTTACATAGATCAAAATATGGACCCTTACATTATGGAGATAGTAAAGATATTCTCCACTACTAAAAGCTAAGAATAGTAGGTCATCTAATATGATCAATCATATATTGACATATATAAGAATCACGAAATGTATAGAGATCGAGGGCATCAATCACTCAAAAAATAACACGTGTTATTTTATATGTTTGGTTTGATGCTACTGTTAAGTATCCCTTCCATCCATCAAGTCTATAGATACCAATATCTGTATGTAGTCCAGAACTCGTGCATCACACTAGCTAATACACAATCTTCTATAGTGATCGATCGATCTTTACGTAGCAAAGGTCATTCCATATTTTCTTCTCTTCATTTTTTCTATTTTCTACTTTTTATTAGCCTTCTTAACCTTATGAAACGGTGAACATGAGACTTTGTTAGCAAATACTAATGCGTACTCATTTCACATATACTCCCCAACAACTTTCCCATAATAATCATCATATTGTATATTATTCCCAAAACAGGGAATTTATTCTTCATAAATTATACCAATTACCATGTTTTGACCCTATGTTAGATGAGAATTAAGCAATATACCAACACTAACATCGTAACATGCATGTATGATTTCAGGCATTTGTTGATGAATGGAATAATCTAATAGTTTTCCGTTGCTTATCTTTGTTGAACTTAACTTGATTCTGTTAAGAAAAAAAACCAATTTTGATGATCTTAATTGATAAATTTTCTTAGGTTGATTTTTATTTTGCGATAAACTTTATTTATTTATGCCAAACATTTTTTGTTTTTGCTAAACTTTACTTGTAATATGTTAAACACTCTCCTTTTTAAATGTAGGATAATTAGTCTTAACTCACTTGTGAAATATTGTCAATCACTAACTAGTTTATGAATGTATGCAATAACGCTTTGTTGTGCGACAGCGGAAGCAAAGGTCGAAAACAAACAAGAAAACAATAAAGAAATTCAATGCAAACAATAAGAACAACACCAAGAATTTACGTGGTTCACTATCGATGTGATAGCTACGTCCACGGGCACCGAGATCGAATGATTTCACTATAAACTGCAAAGATTACAAAGATGATTCTTGTATTTCTCAAGAACGGCTTTCACTCTGTCTCTCTTAACCCTAATACTGATATTAGGGAGGTTTTTATATTAATCCCTAATTAAAAGATACTTGGGCAAAAAGATAATAAAATAAGATAACCTAAAACCGCAAAATCCGCGTTCCGTATTTTTCCTTCTCCGCCCGGTCAGACCGGGCAAGGTCTGCCCGATCGGGCGCGAGAAGAAAACTCCATACGAATGCTTCAACGTATCCAACCCCCACCGCCCGGTCAGACCGGGCAAGGTCTGCCCGATCGGGCGAAGGCTCGCCCGGTCGGGCGAAGGCTCGCCCGGTCGGGCGCGAGAGCAGCTTCTTCAACGAATTTGCCAGGCACCTCTTCTTCTTCCGCCCGGTCAGACCGGGCAATGTCCGCCCGATCGGGCGGACAAAGCTACGAAGTACGAGTCACCTAATATACTTATCAACAATCTCCACCTTGACGAGAACTCGTAGTCAGCAAACGACCCCATCAAGACATAGTGAAAAAACATCTCAAGCCAAACCCGATGCAGGACTCATGCATAAGCCATACATCCCGATAAGTCTTCAACCAAGACCCATCACATACTCGTCTCCAAGTATAACAACTCATAATGCTCCACCTGCATCACAAGCCCCGGGCAAGCTCCACCTTAAGGCCAACACACCTACACCAGGAGCTCCCCAACTTCGCCCCTCAGGGCCTACTACATCACGTAGTAATCAATATTTAGCAAGTCTAAGCAATGTTTAAACTTGCTAAACGGAACAGGCTTAGTGAAGAAATCAGCCGGGTTGTCAGCAGTCCCAATCTTCTTCACCTTAATCCTCTTGTCAGTACGCAAGAAATGATACCTGACATCAATGTGCTTCGTCCGATCATGGTGTACTTGATCTTTAGCTAAGCAAATCGCACTTAGACTATCACAATACACTGTAGCAAAATCCTGTGCAATACCCAGTTCACCTACTAGGCCTTTGAGCCAAATAGACTCCTTAGCTGCAGAAGTTAGAGCCATATACTCAGCTTCAGTAGTTGACAACGTAACTGATGACTGCAATGTAGACTTCCAACTAACCACAGAACCACCCAAAGTGAACACATAACCAGTCACAGACCTCCTGGTATCCACATCAGCTGCATAATCAGAATCACTGTACCCAGTGACCAAGCATTCCTTACCATTCCCGTACACAAGACCAATATCAGCTGTCCCTCTCAGGTAGCGAAAAATCCTTTTCACCCCTTGCCAGTGTTCCCTCCCAGGTCGAGCCATAAACCTGCTTACAACACTAACAGCATGCGCAATATCCGGCCTAGTACAGACCATAGCATACATCAAACAACCAACCGCGTTTGCATATGGAACTCTAGACATATAAGACAACTCCTCCTCTGATTGAGGTGACATAGACAAAGACAACTTACAACTAACAGTAGTTGGCGTACTTATAGGCTTCGATTTTTCCATCCCAAAACGAGACAAAATCTTTTCAATGTAGCTTTTCTGAGTCAAGAAAAGCTTACCTCTAGCCCGATCCCTGTAGATCTCCATACCCAAAATCTTCCTAGCTGCACCCAAGTCTTTCATGTCAAACTCCGAGTTAAGCATCTCCTTTAATCTAGCAATATCAGATTTATTCTTTGTGGCAACCAACATGTCATCAACATATAACAAAAGATAAATCATGGAACCATTATCCAGCTTACTATGATACACACAGCAATCATATGAATTCCTGTCAAAACCTTGTGAAACCATAAAAGAATCAAACCTTTTGTACCACTGTCGGGGGGATTGCTTAAGTCCATACAATGACTTTAGCAATCTGCAGGCATAGTGTTCCTTTCCAGGAGCTTCGAATCCTTCGGGCTGCTTCATCAGAATCTCCTCCTCCAAATCGCCATGAAGGAAGGCCGTTTTAACATCCAACTGCTCCAGCTCAAGATCAAAATGTGCTACAATTGACAATAACACACGGATAGAAGTATGTCGAACCACAGGTGAGAATATCTCAACAAAGTCAACCCCTTCTACCTGACTGAACCCCTTAGCAACTAGCCTAGCCTTAAAACGTATTTGCTCAGTTTCCGACAACCCTTCTTTCTTCTTGTAAATCCATTTACAACCCACAAGCTTCCTCCCTTCCGGTACCTTTACCAGTTCCCACACTCTGTTCTTGTAAAGGGACTGCATCTCTTCACCCATTGCGGCAAGCCATTGCGCAGACTCACTACAACTAATTGCTTGTTTATATGTGGCAGGTTCAAATGACTCTACATCATCAGCTACACTCAATGCATAACCTGTCATCGCATCAACACAGCAATTTCTTCCCTCCATCTCTTCAATCAATCTAACAGGCTTCTTGATAACTCGTTTAGGCATCTCAAGAATGGTGTCAGGTTGACTAGATGACCCCTGATTAGATTGCTCCACCTCATCCCCAGAGTTAGAATGAGTAGGAGTAATCTCAGGTTCAGGAGTACCCGGCACTGGAACATCAGCATCATCATCAATATATTGTACCCGAGGTAAATCAGCAATGGTAGACTGATGTACCTCAAGTACCCCATCTGTCTGTAATAAATTGTCTCCTTCCCTTCTCAAATCTGAAATCTCTGCATTTTTAATTGAATACATGGTGTTTTCATCGAAAGTAACATCCCTACTAAGAATGACCCGACCCTCCGAAGGTGAAAAAATTCTAAACCCCTTCACACCATCCCCGTACCCAACAAAACACCCCTTCTTGGCTCGTGGATCCAGCTTACCCTCAATAACATGATAATAAGCAACACAACCAAAAATCTTCAAATTCGAAAAATTAGGCAACTTACCACTCCAGATCTCAAACGGAATCTTGGAATCAATTCCAGAATGAGGACCCCTATTAATGACATAACAAGCTGTTAACACAGCTTCACTCCAGTACCTCCTCCCAAGCCCTGCATTAGAGAGCATGCATCGGACTCTCTCTAGCAGTGTCTGATTAACCCGTTCTGCTACACCGTTCTGCTGTGGTGTCTTCCTGACAGTATGATGCCGACCTATACCCTCATCTGCACAGAACTGATTAAACTCGTCTTTGCAAAACTCTAGCCCATTGTCCGTTCGTAGCTTCTTGATCTTCCTTCCTTGTCGATTTTCCACCAAAGCTTTCCATTGCTTGAAAACTTTGAAGGCCTCATCCTTTGACTTAAGCAACCTAAGCCATGTGTATCGGGACTTGTCATCAACAAATGACACAAAATAGTGGTAACCTCCCATACCTTCAACTCTAGATGGACCCCAGCAATCTGAATGGATGTAATCGAGCACTGCATCAGTAATGTGAGCACCCTTGCTGAACTTTGACCTGTGTTTCTTACCAAACACACAATGCTCACAAAATTCAAGGTTGGCAACCTTGACCCCGGATAGAAGACCCCTCTTGGACAATAGCTGCATCCCCTTCTCCCCCATATGACCAAGCCTCATGTGCCAAATCTTAGTCATCTCCTGGTGAGATACAGATGCGCAAACCGCAGAACTAGGCAGTGTAACACCCTCAAAAACATAGAGAGTGTTCCTTTTGATACCCTTAAGTACCAACTCAGAACCTCTGAAAATACACAACTCCCCATCTGAAAACACACCATTGTACCCCAATTCATCCAGGGTACCCAATGAAATCAGATTCTTTCCTAAAGCAGAAACATGCCGTACATTAGTCAAAGTTAACCTCCGCCCATCAACAGTCCTCAACCTCATGGAACCAATACCTGTGACCTTACATGGAGCATTGTTACCGACTATAACCATACCCCCATTGCGAGGTTCATATGTATCAAACCAATCTCGACGTGGACACATATGGAACGAACACCCCGAATCTAGAACCCAGTTATCAGATAAATCATCAGACCTAGCAGAACTGACTAATGCTAAATCTTCCTCTGAATTATAGCTCTCATTCGGTTTCTCTTCAACTACAGCAGCCTGGGACTTGTTTTTCCTCACCGGACAATTATTCCTAAAGTGACCCGGTTCTTTACAGTAATAACATGTTTTAGTAGTAGTTTTACTAGATCCATCCTTGCCGTTTCCAGCACCCGACCCAGCATTGTTCCCCTTGTTAAACCCCTTATTCTTTTTAGACTTTCCGGACTTAACAAATAACCCACTACCATTATCCCCATTATCACTCGTAGCTTTCATTCTGAGTTCCCTAGTATGAAGTGCTGCCTTCACTTCTTCTAAGGTTATAGAATCCTTACCAACAACAAAAGACTCTACAAAATTCTCAAAGCTAGACGGTAGAGATACAAGTAAAATCAACGCAGCATCCTCATCATCAATTTTAACATCTAAATTACGTAAATCAAGCAAAATAGAGTTAAGTTTTTCTAGATGTTCCCGTAAGGAAGTACCTGACTGCATCCGGAGGCTAAACAACCGCTGTTTCAGTAATAATTTGTTGGTCAACGACTTAGTCATATACAATGACTCCAGCTTCAGCCACAATCCAGCCGCCGTTTCCTGATCAGCAACCTCCGTGATGATTTGATCATCAAGACTAAGTAATATGGTAGAGTGTGCCTTCTCTTCCATAACTTCTAACTGCGAGTCAGTCGGTCCGTCTCCTGACTCCGAAGTAGTACTCTTTGGAGCCAACGGACGCCATATCTGCTGTTGTTTTAACAGAGCCTTCATCTTAATTTGCCATAGCCCGAAACTATTTTTCCCGGTAAACTTCTCAATTCTTATTGTTGAATCTCCTGCCATTGTTATCTTCAAGAAACTCTCCAAGGATTGAACCTGAGCTCTTGATACCAATTGTTGTGCGACAGCGGAAGCAAAGGTCGAAAACAAACAAGAAAACAATAAAGAAATTCAATGCAAACAATAAGAACAACACCAAGAATTTACGTGGTTCACTATCGATGTGATAGCTACGTCCACGGGCACCGAGATCGAATGATTTCACTATAAACTGCAAAGATTACAAAGATGATTCTTGTATTTCTCAAGAACGGCTTTCACTCTGTCTCTCTTAACCCTAATACTGATATTAGGGAGGTTTTTATATTAATCCCTAATTAAAAGATACTTGGGCAAAAAGATAATAAAATAAGATAACCTAAAACCGCAAAATCCGCGTTCCGTATTTTTCCTTCTCCGCCCGGTCAGACCGGGCAAGGTCTGCCCGATCGGGCGCGAGAAGAAAACTCCATACGAATGCTTCAACGTATCCAACCCCCACCGCCCGGTCAGACCGGGCAAGGTCTGCCCGATCGGGCGAAGGCTCGCCCGGTCGGGCGAAGGCTCGCCCGGTCGGGCGCGAGAGCAGCTTCTTCAACGAATTTGCCAGGCACCTCTTCTTCTTCCGCCCGGTCAGACCGGGCAATGTCCGCCCGATCGGGCGGACAAAGCTACGAAGTACGAGTCACCTAATATACTTATCAACACGCTTGGTACGACTTAAATTAAAGGTACAAAAAAAATGGCATCAACTCAGTGTGAGAGGAAGGAGAAAGTAGCTGTGCAATTGAGCTGCGAGCAGAAAGCAATTCGCGCAACTTTAGACGAGTTGATCAAGTGCGCAGAGAAAACACTTGTGTCCGAGGATATCACCAACAAGTCCCGTGCCATCGTTGCTGAAAAGGAATGCCTAAAAAGGCTGACGCTATTGCACCAAAACTATCTTTAATAGCCGGTGCCTTGACAAATCAGACTACTAGGGGATCCTTGAACGTGTTTTACTCCAAGCTATGGAAGGGATATACCGTGAAAGACTACACAGATCCTCTTGATAGCTTGGGTTCCTGGGCTCAAGCAGCCTTGATCGGGGGTGTTAAGGCCGCGGTGGTTTATAGTGGCAAGAACAAAGCTGGAGTTGAATGTGGGTGGCTCCTTGCTTGGTCCGACACTAATGGAAGGAAGGTGAGTACAATTCAATTTTTATTTTCATTCTTGCTTATATATACATGTATGGCTGGACCAAGCAAGGGTTGGCCGAGTGGTAAAGATTTGGTCTCATGAGTACGTTGAAGTTCATAACTCATGAGGTCAATCAGACCCCAATAGAATCTTCTAGTGGGCCGTGAAGGGATTCCTTTATCCTCCCCCTTACTAAACACGTATATAAAGTTTTTATTAATTATTTGTTCATACGATTTTTCACTAATTGGATCTCATATTCTTTCGTTTGATGCTTCCTTGCAATAAATTAAATTGGGATTAGGTTTATGCGGACTGTGGCCCTATAAGCAAGTTCAACAACATCAACTGGAATCAGGTTGAAGCGAAATTGGATGAATCCGGATTTATCGCTTATGCTAATGACTCGGAGACTGGAACCTCAATGTATGCCACCAATGTTGGTCACACACCTGGATCTGCAGTTGCTGTCGCCTACACTGGTTGAACAAACTCCCTACGTAGTACGTACGATGATCAATAATAATAATAATAATAATAATAATAATGTGCTAAAAAGTCCGTCCGTATCCATTGGATTAATATATACTCGTAATGTAGTATATATAATCTTCTGGTCTGGCTAGTTTTGGTTTTTTTTTTTTTTTTTTTTTTTTAATTTTTTTTTATAATTTGTGGTTGTTTTCCTTTAAGCTAAGGGCATTACCTGTTGTACGAGTATACGTAATTTAAGGACATGCAAGCTAGCTAGCTTATACAGTTATACCTGCATGTTTATTTATTTCCATGTACAACTAACTAGTGCTAAATAAAAAAAATGCCCTCTTTTCTTATATATATGATCTTTCTCTATGATTTGTTTTCCTCTTAATTAAAAAGACTTGCTCATGGCTTAACATAGTGTGTAATGCATGTTGCTACTGCGACGCACCATAATATAATATCTTTGAATGTGATATGTTTTTACAACGGTTGTTTGAAATATAAGTATCATAATATTTTAATGATAAACAATATGATAGGTTTATTTTTTATTTTACATTGTCATATGAACACAATTAGTTTTCTAATATCTACAATGCAAATATATATAATTTATGAAAAATTTAATCTAACATAAAATAAATATTTTTTGAGAAATTATAAAATAATAATAAAATTTACATAAATAAAACTAGAAATCTAATTAAATAAAAAAATGTTGATAATACTATTCTATAGCAAAATAACGTAATACTATAATTTATTACTTGAAGAAAAATATGTCAATTATGAAGTATATAATCATTAAAACATTGTTGTAGTCATATTTCAAACGACCACTATAAAATTTTCAGATAAATTATAGCAAGAAATTATGAAGAGATGGCATGCTAAATTGCTAATATAATAAGATTCATCAGCAGTGGTTAATTAGTCGTGAACGGTAAATTTACTATTCTTGTTTAATATGTTGAATAGTACATTATTTCAGGTGTAAATGTGTAATGCTACTAATATATAAAGGTGCTTGGGCACATAGACATATAGTTATTGATATAATTACATTATTTCCACCTGATAACAAGTTTTTGTTTATCAAAAAGGTGATAAAATGGGGCTCCCTCATCATCATAGACTAACCCATAAAAACGGTTTTATCCAAACTTTTATTTATACATCTTAGCTTGTTCTATTAATGAAGAAACAATACAAACAAACTTATAATTAAATTTTAGTATCAATACGCAGCTTTGTTAATACCAAGTAGAATTTGTTGTTACAGATAAGTTCTTTTATTTTAAATAATCCCATTTGATAAGTTTTGCAAACAAATACCAAGTACATAGTAATATGTACCATTTTTAAAATCGAGCCGGTCAAAGTTCGGATCAAATTCAAATTTATACTAGTAATTTGATATTTACCAAGACGAACTAACTCAACTCAATTATATTCGATCAGCCCGAAAACTTACGGGCCTTTTACTCCCGTTCCCGTCACAATGAGCTTTACTTTACGAGTATAACTAAAGCTTAACGTACACTACAACTCGCATCATTACATGTTTATTTCACAAATCTTCATTAATGGATAAGAACTCGACACTGATTCTTTTTTTATTTTTTTATTTTTTATAAAAGTCTTTGTAATCAATCGCTTTTAGCGGAAGTGGATTCTGGAATCGTTTATATAGATCATATGTCAGTGCCATATACGAGTAGCGTTTGTGAGAGGTGGTGTGAATTGACATAATGGAGTAAGAACCTTGTAAATAAATCATAAAATAATATAACATTTTAAAAATACTTGCCTTAGATATTTGTCACTTGGTCGTCAATAAAATAATTAATTAACAAAAAATAAACCCTAATACGGGCAGGGGCGGACCCACCTTTAGTCATAGTGGGTCCGGTGACACAGTATTTTTTTTAAAATAAAATATCAAAGAGACCCCTTATTATAGATAGGCGGTCTCTTTGATGCTGCTATTGGTAACAACAAACAACATCAAAGAGACCTCTTATTAAGGTAGGCGATCTCTTTAATGCTGCTATTGCTACTTAAATATTAAAGAGACCTGTTATTTATATAAGAGGTCTCTTTGATGCTGCTATTGCATTTCGCAATTTTTTTGCGCTACTTTCGTTTCATTAAAGAGACCAGTTATATTTAATAACTGGTCTCTTAAGTTATCTCACTTTTTTTTGTATAATTTTTTAATAATTTTTTTTCCCTTTTTATATCTTATATTTGTACAACCGATTTTAATATTTCCCCATAAAGCTTATCAATTAACTAAAAAATCATAAAGTTAATTCAATATAATAATTTTATTGTACCATTTGTTTATAACATGTTATTTGTAGTATTTTCGACTTGTAAAATTGAATTCTTAAGTACTGTATTTGGTTGTGGTATGTATTTTTGTGTCCTATTTTTGGATTGAAATCAATTTGGTGAAATATATATATATATATATATATATATATATATAATTTTTGGATTGAAATTAATTATGAACAAGACATGGAAAAAAAAATTGTACTTTCACAAATGATCAATAATTGATGGTGACACATTATCTCGGAAATCTTGGATCCGCCACTGAATACGGGTATATATTTCATTTGTTCTTTTGTTGTAATAATCGATTTTCAATACTGTTATAATTATAGTATTACTCTGTGTATATTGAAAGAAAAAGAATCGCGCAAATCAAAATAAGCAATAGGTGGATAATAGTTAGGTAGACCGAATTTGGGTTTTACTAGGATTCGTGCACTTTTCAGTTAGTCAAGTTCTCTAGTTTCTATTAACTTCAATTCTCTTCAAGTAATTAAGGTAATCCTTGATTTTTTTTCTTCATCTCTTTTCAAATAAGTATCGTATGTTTTAATGCATGTGTGTTACTTGTTGAAATTTTAATTTTTTGTTTGATGCAAATGAGGGAAAACCCTACAAAATTACAAAAGATGAACTTGTTGAAATCATAAAAAGTTAAAAACAGAGATGAGAGAGGGAAACAACATAAAATATGTTACTGCTAAATTTGATACAAGTCTAAATAAAAGAAAACAGTGATATATTAAATTACATCCCCATATTACACGGTTTGGTTTACATTTAGCGTTACTATACTTTCTTGAACTCGTATGCTTATCTAACGTGGGAAAACTCACATGTAAGTAAACCAGCTATAAACTACCTGTTAGGATCGAATGGCTTCAACTCAGAGTGTGGTGAGGAAGGAGGAAGCGGCTATGAATGAGCTAATGAAGCAAGCCGAAGAAGCGAAACCCCAAGATGAGATGCTCTTTGGAGGTTGGATTTACAACAAGAGCAATGCTACCAAAAAAACCATGCACTTTCACGCTGAGAAGACATGGTCTGGCAAATCCTATCATAAATATGATGAAACATTAGCAGAATCAACCGATTTTGCGCAATTTGAACAAAAGGAGAAGGGAATCAAAGCTGCTGTCGTGTATTCCCTCAAAACTAGTGATGATCCACTTAATCACTATGGTTTTCTTTTGGCTTGGTCTGATTCCTTCAATGAAGAAAGTCACACTAGAAAGGTACGTATGTGTAACGCTACGTGTTGAATTATATCCTACCAAATAACACATGTAAGTGTCCCACGTTGATAAGAGTTGAGAGAGTCAAATACTTTATAAGGCTAAAGGGTCAAACCTCCTATTGCCATATGGTTTTGGGATAGAACCTCCTTTGGACTTGTGAAGTGGACTCTCTCTCTTAATTTGCAGGTGCGGTCCAAACCCGTATTTAACACCACGCACGACGATTAATTTAGTAATTATCCTCGTAATATAGTAATGGTAGCACCACGCACTACTTTTTATTTTTATTTTTTATATCTAATTAAATATGAAAATGTTACGGTAGTTATCCTTAAAATGATTTATACCTGCTCCTACATTGACGCTTATACTCAAACTTCACTGAAGGCCAAATTCTTTGCAAACGTAATTTATGCAGATTTCAATTAAATGGAATAGCACGTACTCTCCATACCCTAAGCTACGATACAAAGCATTTGTATGATATAGCTACGGCGGACAAATCGATTATGTATTGCTAATAATTAAGCTAGTAGCTAGCAACTACATACTAAGAATATTATATATGTAACATATACAATAAAATGTATGTATGCTAGAAGCTTGTACTATACGTCTGTACGTACTAATAATAAAAAAAGTGCCTCTTTTCTACTCGTATTAATTATATGATCTCTTTAATTAACATACGAGTTCATGAAAAATACATTAGGTTTTGTGGCACAAAGGTGGCCTAGTGTTTCCCGGCAGAAAATTAGCTATGTTGAAATTTAGTTATTTTTTGGCACTACTTTTGTATAACCTCTCCTAAAGGTGGGTACAAGTTATTCAATTCAGATCATCCGTTCAAGATGGTAGTATGCTGCTCAAGTAGGGCAAAAACATTCCTCATATTTTAGCATAACACAAAGACAAGTCCAATTCTTCTTACTTCTTTTGAGTCGTATGTAGTGCCCTTGAGAATCAATCGAATGTGGAACGTACGAATGGCAAAGGTGGAGGGTAAGGGCCTAAGATAAATCTTATTGCATAATTACTCCCTTTCTCCTGGTTTGTTTGCTTCATTTGAATTTTCATGGTATCCAAGATAAATCTTAAGACATGATCGAAGATCTTTAAATTTGCTGATGCAAAAATTATAAAAATTTGATACTCTGAAGATAGAAATTGAAGCGAATCCAGCAAGATCACATGCACATGCCTATATTATTTCTTATAGATTAGTGATAGTTTTTGATTAAAAATGTAAAATTCAAATCCAAAATGCGATGGGACAAACAATTAGAGATAGATAAGAGGCAATAGCAATATAATTAAACGAAGAGACGATGTTAAGATTAGAAGAAGGTTAAATGAGTAACTAATACTCGGTGGAAAGGCAGTAAATTTGGTAGAAAACTAAAAATATTCACTTTTAGTTATAACATTTTGATTTTCACACTTGTTGTCAATATATATTTTTTTTAATCCTTTATATCTCTAATTAAAGACGGGTAAATATATATATAAATGAGATACCGTGAAAAAAAATATATTGAGATGAATAAAACAATAATCTCACATGACTAATATTTTTCTTTCATTTTTTTTTTTTTTTTTTGAGGCAATATTTTTTCTTTCATATAAAGCAACAAAGGTAATCAAATAGAAAAACATGAATATATAGTGTAAATTTCCAAATATTACAACTAATAATGAATTAATGATTCGCGTAATGAATGGAGGGAGGATGTAGCTAATTAATTAGAGACTCAAACGATGTCTTTGTGTAGTATCGTCTTCTTCACTAATGAAAATATATTATTAGATCTTTTTCAATTAGATATATTATTAACAGGAAAAAAAAAAAATATTAATGGCACCTTCTAATAAAGTAGGAGGCAAGAATTGGAGACCAATTTTTTGCTTCTAATTTCTTTTTCACAATTTTGTATTCAGTTTTGGAATTAGAATTGGATTCTTGTTTAAATTATTAGCATGTTTACGGATAAGATGCCAATTCCATATGCTATAGAGTATAGACTAGTTACTTGAATTTTGAAATTTGGAGTGGCATATTCGATTTTACATATTACTTTTTTTTTTTTTTTTTTTTTTATGTTTTTGGTTGAGGGAATAATTTTTTTTTTTTTTTATATATATATATATATATATATTTTTTTTTTTTTTTTTTTTTTTTTTTTTTTTTTGTGGAATGGAAGGGAATGATGTTATTTAGCGCTAGCTGTTACTCTCTCGGTCCCTTTTTGTTTATTCCATGGCTCACTTATTTGTGCTAGTTCTATGACTCATATAAGGCAAAGTAAGAAAAAGAGGGAGTACAAAGTTCGAAGGGCTTTGAAACTTAAAGACCCAAATATCTTTATATCTTTGGGAAATTTATGCACTTATTTGGGAAATTTACTCACTTATTTGGTAGTATCCTAATGGCTTTATATGTACAGTGTACATTCACCATTTTGAAATAATTACACCATTATAACTTTTACATTTGTTAACATATGACTTTGACCATATATTTCTTTATATCTCTTATAATAATTTATTATTAAAAATTTTAAAAATCAGTTACATTGACCATATAATTGCACATGTTTTTTTTTCATGTCCTTATCCATTTGTTTGTTCCAACCAGAACTTGATGATCGATTCTCATACTAGGACCTTATCTACAAACTAACATTATCTATCAAGTAATTATTTTCCCCTTTTTTTTTCTGTATTGTTACATCATCTTTTGTTATACAACTCATATCTTTGTTTTATAAGCCAGCTCTAGAACTTTGTTGGAATAAGTAGGTAGTAAAGGAATGGGAGAGGCAATGAGGAGCAAAAAGAAAGTACAGAAAGGAAAGAAGAAGAGCATACACTCTACAATCAATCCTCTTTTATGATTTATATGTTCAAAAAATATAATAATCATGTGAGATTTTATATGATTTATCTCAAAAATACTTTCACATTATCAACTTTTTATAATTTTGCTAAAATATAATTAAAGATATTTAATTTTTAATTTATTATTTATAAAATAAAAATTGACAAAAGTAAATTCTCCAACGTGAGATAAAAAAATAGAGAAAGTAATACAGAGTACTATTGTTTATTTCACTTATTTTGATTGTACTTTTTGATTATTTATTAAAGTGATGATGAAGTAATTGTCGTAAATCATACTCCATCCGTCCCACATTATACTTCCTGATTTTTTATTTTGGAGATCCAAAATATTGTTCTTTTTTTTTTTTTTTTAGATAGTATGTAAAGGCTATTATAACCTCATTTTTTTTTAACTTTATTCATTGAACTTCCTAAATTACCATTGAATTTGCCACTTGCCTTGTACTTTTTTCCACTGTCTCTCTAACTTTTGTCTATATTTGTACTTTTTACTTTTTTTTAACATCTTTCATCCACTTTCTCCTCTCATTTCTTAAATACCCCACTTGCCTCGTACTTTTTTTCACTTTCTCTCTCTAACTTTTGTTTTTATTTGTATTTTATACTTTTTTTTTAATGTATTTCATCTATTTTCTCCTCACATTTTTTAAATACCGTGAAAAAACATAAACAGTAACTATAAATCTGAACGGAGGAGTAGTACAATTGTGGACCACCGATGTTTTGAATTATTGATATAATCTTGTCCTACGTTCACTACAATTGTGGTGGATGAATTTTCAATAACATACACGTTTTTTTTTTTTAATTCCTTTGTTTTTTTTAAAAAGAAAATAAAAAAGTTATTGGTGATTCTCATAAAAAATACAAGTTTATCACCTTAATATACATATTTTATGAAAAATTGTAATTGATTCAACAGTTTTTTTTAAAAAATATAGACTCCATAAATGTTGACATAATCACGAAATGATAAAGTATAAAACATATTCTCGGGCATCAACCATCAGTTTAAGCTTTTAGTTGATATGGTCCACTAACATGGCATCGGAGCCAACGTAACACCAAGGTCAGGGGTCAAATCTCATCCACCCCGCCCCTTTAAGTGGAAGCTTTTGGTTGAAATGCTCCGCTAATAGATCGAAAATGCCATACTAACTAGACATCTTTGTTAATTTATTTATAATTTCAAGGTGATAAACACAGACTTCTTCCACTTTAAGACAGTTTCCTATGTCTCATATTCATTTATTATATTTTTAAATGATCCACTTTATGTTTAATGTATTATTACTAAAGACTATAATATCCATTCATCCATTTATACTATATACTACATGAATTATCAAGTAAGACACTTGATGATTGACATATTAATATGAAAATTTTTCCCTCCATGATTATTCCACTAATCCTCACTAATGGATAAGAACTCAATACTGAATTTTATTTTTTTTATTTTTTTTATTTTTTTATTTTTATTTTAAAAATCTTTGTATTCCAAAAATACGGAGAAGCTTTTAGCTGAAGTGGATTCTAGAATCGTTTGCATAGATCAGATAAGATGCCAGTGCCATATACGAGTAGCCTTTGTGAGAGGTGGTGTGAATTTTTTTTTTAAAAAAACAAATCAATTCATTAATAAAAAGTCACATGTCACATATCGATAGAATATACGGCCTTTTTAAAAAGACGGTCTAATGATTTGTTGTAGCCGTAAGGATGATTTTTATTTGATTCACTTGAACGCATTGACTACCGTTGCTATCCCGAACAAATCTTTACCAACGAATTGATAGTAGGCCAAAAGATAATTACCTTTTTAATAAAGTTTAACACACAAAAAAAACCTAAATATAACAAACAACTAAACTAACAAAAACTCCTCCATAGGAAGACAGACAAATGTCTACACTACTTGTGTAGATTTATTAAAACTTAAATTGCATGCAAAATTAAAGAAATTTAAGGAAAAAGGGTAAAAAAAAAAGTCTAATTTTCAAAAAAATGAGACTATTTCAGACTAAACGGCCTTGAAGCGTAAAAGAGAGAAAGAGAGGAGGAGAGGAGAGGCGAAGAACCATATTTTCTTTAGCAGAGGTGGTGTGAATTGACATATCGGAGTATAAGTACGAACCTTTTGAATAAAAAAATAATACTTGCCAGAGATATTTGTCACGTGGTCGTCAATTACTTTAAAAAAAAAAAACTAGTAAACAGTATTTCCTTTGTTCTTTGTTGTAACAATCGAGTTTCGACACGTATTACTATAATATTACTCTATGCATATTGAAATCAAAATAATCGCATAAATCAAAATAAGTAATAGGTGGATAATATTTAGGTGGACAAAATTTGTTTTTTGTTTTTTTTTTTCGTTTTCGTTTTTTTTTTTTTTTTTTTATTTTAAAACTTCACATCATAAAAGAGCATCGATGCTATATAAATAGGGAATGAATTGGTAGCTTGTCTAGCATTCGTGCAATTTTCAATAAGTCAAGTTCTCTTGTCTCTACTTTCAATTCTCTTCAAGTAATTAAGGTAATCCTCAATTTTTAATTTTTTTCATTTCTTTTCAAATAATAAAATTTCCCATGTTTAAGGATGTGTGTTCTTTCTTGCATGTTGTTACTTGTTGAAAGTTTTATTTTTTGTTTTGATGCAAATGAGGGAAAATCCTAAAACTTACAAAGGAAATTTTGTAAATAACCGCTCCTCAATACACCTATTTAGAAATAACCACCCATTTTTTCAATATTATAAAATACTACCCTTTTTTTTTCAAAAGTTTTAGTTTTCACCACCTATTAATAAAAAGTTCCATTTTTAAAAATAAAAACATGCTTATTAAGGTTTTGAGGGTCATTTTGACCCTTTGGGCTCGATTTGAGGTCATAAAATGCTCCGTTTTGCGTGTTAATAATTACCTCGATTGCGTGACACATACAAAATGAGGCATATTCCATAATGTTTTTCAAATTCTGACCTCAAATCGAACCCGAAGGGCAAAATAAAGTGCCCCATAAAACCCTAGTAGAACAAGTTTTGGCTCAAAAATCTATGTTTTACTTTTACAAATGAAACTTTTTGTTAAGGTGGTGAAAGCTAAAGCTTTTGAAAAAAAAAGAGTTGTATTTTATAATATAATATTGAAAAAAAATGGGTGATTATTTCTAAATTGGGTATTGAAGGGTGGTTATTTACAAAATTTCCAATTACAAAAGATGAAATTGTTAAAATTACAATTACAAAGATGAGAGAGGGAAACAACATAAAATATGTTATTGCTAAATTTAATACAAGTCTAAATAAAAGAAAACAGTGCTTTACTACATTTAACGTTACTATAATTTCTTGAACTAGTATATATGCTTATTTAATGTGGGAGAACACATATGTAGTACTACCTGTTACGCTGTTAGGATCGGAATGGCTTCATCAACTCAGAGTGTGGTAAAGAAGGAGGAAGCGGCTCTCAACGAGCTGATGAAGCAAGCTGAAGAAGCGAAACCCCAAGATGAGATGCTCTTTGGAGGTTGGATTTACAACAGAAGCAATACTGCCAAAAAAACCATGCACCTTTACGCTGAGAAGACATGGTCTGGCAAATTCTATTATAAATATTCTGAAACATTGGAAGAATCAACCGGTTTTACACAAACTGGACAAAAGGAGAAGGGAATCAAGGCTGCTGTCGTGTATTCCCTCAAAACTAGTGATGATCCATTTAATCACTATGGTTTTCTTTTGGCTTGGTCTGATTCCTTCAATGAAGGAAATCACACCAGAAAGGTACGTACATATGTATGACGCCGTTGATGATTAGTAACTCTCGTAAATTCGTAATATAGTACTCCTTCCGTTTCATAATGCATATTAGTCCCATTTTTATTTTTTATGGTCAAACTTTTTAAACATTGACTAATCATTCACATTAATATACACAAATAATATAGTCACGTGAATATATATGTGATCTATTGTTAGATTCGTCTTGATGTGTAGTTTTATAATATCAAATTTTTATAGTTTTTATTCATATGTAATTAAATATATTGATAGTCAAAGGAGCATCTTATAAACCGTGCAAAAATCAAAATAAAATTATTATTATGAAACAAAGGGAGCATACATCAAAAAAAAAAAAAAAAAAAAAAAAAAAAAAAAACAAACAAAAAGGAAAGGAAGGGAGCAATGGTTTATATGTGATAATTAGAATTACAACAAAGTTGGCAACTTTTTATTTTAATTTTCATATCTAATTAAATAATGTAACTAGATAATATGATCTACACGTTACTATGCAGGTCTATGGATCTTGTGGCCTTCTGGAGAAATTCCAAAACATAGACTGGGATAAGGTCGAAAAGGACCTCGACGCTTCCACCTCGTCGTCCTCCTACATTGACGCTTATACTCGAACTTCAGTGAAGGCCGAAATCGTTGCAAACGTAGTTTATGCAGATTTCAATTAATTAATTTGAATAACATGGTACGGTCGTCGTCCGCCTTAAGCTAGATATACAAAGCATTTGTATTATATAGCTAGGGCAGACAAATCGATAATATATATCAATATATGATGGTTGTGATCTTATACTTATGTATTGCTACTTGCTAGTTAATACGGAGCATATTGCTAGCAACTACGTACTAAGAATATTATGTAACATAATAAAATGCATGTGTGTAATAGATGCTTGTACTGTCCTACTAATAAATAAATAAATAAAGCATCTCTTTTATATTATATGTTCTCTTTAAATAATAAACGAGTTTACATAATATATATTTATGATTAAGGAATTAAGGATTAGTGAGCTGTATAAAAAATAGTCTGTTGTTCCCTCAACTCAGCAAATTAAACACCAAAGCACGCTTTTTTTTTTTTTTTTCAACGGAGTAGAATTAATTAATAGTTAAATAAGTTTTACAAGCACCAAAGCACGCTGAAAACTTAGCTATGTTGAAATTTAGTTATTTACGCACTACTCTTGTATGACTTCTTCTAAAGGTAATAATACAAGCTATTCTTTCATCCAAGATGGTAGTATGCTGCTCGAGTAGGGCAAAAACGTTACTCCTTTTTGAGCATACAAACACAAAAAAAGTCCAAGTCTCCTTAATTTCCTCAATTGATTGGACGAAATGTTATTAGCTATGATATATGTAACGTTATTACGCAGGTTTATGGATATAGTGGCCTTCTGGAGAAATTATAAAACATAGACTAGGAAGGGGTCGAAACTCGAAACGGACCTCAGCTCGACGCTTCCACCTAGTCGTGTACCTACATTGACCCTTACACTCGAACTTCAGTGAAGGCTGAAATTGGTGCATGTTGAAGTAGTCTTAATTAAATTGTATGAGCAAAGGGAACAATGTCCCACATGGAAAGAAGAGGGAGAATTGTAATGATATGTATTCAAGTGAATGCTTGATTGGCTAATTGAATTGGACACTTTGTGTTTTGGGCTATACTACGTGAGTTTGATATACACTACTAGAAAACAGGCCATTTTCGACGGAAAAATTCTGTCGGGAACACCCTGAATTCCGTCGGAAAACCCGTTTTCCCTTTGTAGGAAAAACGGCCTTTTCCGACGGATTATATCTTGTCGGACCCTAGTTTGACTAAAATCGTAAGTCCGTCGCAAGCTTACGACGGAAACTTTTCCGTAGGAAGCTAAACTCCTTCCGACTGAATATTCCGTCAGAGTTGGTATTTCCGACGGAATTTTCCGTCGGAGGTGGTATATTCCGACGGAAAATTCCGTCGGAAAAGCAAATTAAAAAAAAAAAGCCCACACCGGCCCCACCCAGACCCACCCTCGCCACCAGCCCACCCCACAGAACCGGACCACCACCCACCCACCCCACACAAACCCCCAAATACACCCACCACCCCACACAGACCCCCTTGGCCCCCATACACAGCAAACCACCACCCACCCACCCCACACAAACCCCCCCATAGACAGCAAGCCACCACCCACCACCCACCCACCCCACACAGACCCCCCATACACCCACCACCCCTAACCCCACCGCCACCCCGTAACCCACCACCCCACCACACCACCACCCACAAATAAAACCAAATTAGCCCAAAAAATCCAAAAAAAAACAAATTCACCCAAATAAACGCAAAAAATCAAACAAATTAATCCGAAAATTAAACAATGAAAATCAGAAATTAAACAACCGAAATAAACCCAAATAAACAAAATTATATTAACATAATTTATTTAAAAAATACCGAAAATTCAAAAAACCGAAAATTATACAACGAAAATCAAAAAAATTATATAATTACACAATTATAATTTCATTCAAATTGATGTTGCTTGTTGATGTTGATGTTGCTTGTTGCGGTTGATGTTGCGGTTGATTGTTGTTGTTGCGACCCCCTTTTGTTGATTGTTGTTGTTGTTGTTGTAGAAGAGGAGATCAGAGAGGAAGAGAAGAGGAAAGAGGAGAGAGAAAGGGAAAAGAACGAGGAGAGGAGATCAGAGAAGAAGATGAAGAGAAGAGGAAGGAGGAGAGAGAAAGGGAGAAGATCGAGGAGAGGAGATCAGAGAAGAAGAGGAAGGAGGAGAGAGAAAGGGAAAAGATGAGAGGAGAGGAGAGAGATAGGTGTTTCGGGGTTTTCTGATATCCTGCGGGAGAGTTACAATTCTGAAACTTGAACCGGACGCCTATACCTGCAAAACAAACGGATACTCCGAGTGATTGGAGTTCCGCCTCCGACGGTCAAGTTAGTACTTGTTTAGGGAGTAATTAATGCGGAAAAGGTAAATGAGTCTCTCTAGGTGAGAGTGTTTAATGTACGTAATCCTGTTTAATGAGGATTAATGAAGGTATTTATAACCTTGGGAAGCGTGCCACTCTCTAGGTTTAGGTTTAATCTAGGGCTGACTGGGCCTCCTTAAGGGTTGGGCCTTGTTGGCCGGCTATCCCATGTGTCATGGGAAAGGACACGTGGCGTGTCACAATTGGTTCATGGTGGACAGATCACTGACTGACACGTGGCAGGCTCCAATTGGCCTACGTGGAGGACACGTGGCGGAACCTGATTGGTCCACTTGTCAGATGGTGATTGGTGGGTAAAAATCCCCTAATCATTTGCCCCTCACAGGTGGCACGTGGCTGGTCACGTGTTACCTGTGACAGGTGTCGGATCGTAACAGGCGACGGCCTGCTACAGGTGTCACTTGGTGAAAGGCCGAGAGTTTTTCCCGCTCAAATTTTGAATTTGGAGGTGACCCTTCGTCTTCTCATTTTGCCTATATAAGGGCGTGTTGACCTCAGTTATTTTCACACTTGAGAACTTTTTAAGAGAACACTCGGACCCCTGAACCTGCTCTGACATTCCGGACACTTCCTGCCTACCGCCTGCTCTGACAAGTCGGCTGTTACTCAGACTTTCCAGAACTTCGTCAACTTGTCACTCGTTCAGGTAACCGTCGGTTCTCTCATTCTTTTACTTTTCTTTATTTTTTCCTTTTTGAAATGGCACCACAGAAGCACACGACACGACCTAGGTTAGTGATCAGCAGGTCACCGGGGACGGCTGAGTCTAGGACTAGGAGTGCCGCCTGCCCCTTTTCGAACCAATCTTTGCCCTTTATACAAAGTCTGACTGTCTCTGTGTCTATGCAGAACATAATGGCCAGAACAAAAAGAACTGCTAGGATTACAAATTCGGACGGCTCCTCCTACCAGGTGCCGATAAGTGAGACATCTGACCAGGCGCCAGATGTTGAAGTGAACCAAGGCGGCTTGACCGCCGACAGCTCTGAGGGAGGGATCAAGGTGGTCCCTTCCCATTTTACAGTAGACATGTCTACATTTTCTCCCGCTCCTGTTGAAGGAGAGGAGGCGGGCCCCTCTAGGAGAGGGGAGGAGTCGTCCTCTTCGGACTCTTCAGAGGACGAGTCCGACTCTAGTTCATCTGTCCATCCTTCTCTAGACACAGAGGAGAGACACAACCGCCTACAAGAGGCGAGGCTTTCTCATGCAGTAGAGAAAGGGGACAATTAGGCGGAACCATCCGCCACCCATAGAGAGCAAAACACCCCCTACTACTGCACAGTTCTAAAAGGCCGGATCAAGGCCATGCAAGAGAAAGTGGGGAGCTTTATTGCAAACCACGTAATGGGCCCTGGCTTTTTAGTTTTTGTGCCAGATCCGGAAGACACAGTCGTCTGGCCGGCTGGGACCAGTTACGATAGCGCCTGCTTTGGCTGCTATGAGGCGGCCATCAGAGCTGGGCTGCGCTTCCCCCTTCATCCGGATGTTCAGCGGATCCTGGATGGATATGAGTTGGGGTTATGGCAGTTAGCCCTAAATTCCTGGTTCAACGTTCTCGGCTATGTGGCCGGGTGCGAAATGTATAGGGTGGAGCCAAATTTCGAGGCTTTCGCCCACATGAACTATCTCAGCCGAACCCCTAAGGCAGGCGGTACCGGCTGATATCAATTGACGAGCCACAGAGGATACCTCATGACAAGAGGTAAAGAAAATAATTGGAAGGATTGGAGAAGCATATTTCTAATCATTGAGAGTTCAGACAAGGAGCTGAACCAGCGCTTTAACAAATGGAACCGAGACCCGCCTCTTCTTGCAGGCGGTCGCAGCATGCCGCTTGTTCCATCAAAAGACAAAAAGAGATCCTAGACCGAGGACTCTTTAAGGTAGAGACCAGGATCGACTCCACTACAGGGGTACGAGAGCAAGTACCCCTGCACTGCGTCCCGAGCTTCAAATGACACTATGACGAGTACTTCCTGGCCGCCTGTGGCCTCAGCAGTCGGTGCTCAAGAGGTAGCCGGCCTGACGAACACATGCTTTTGCAGGAATTATTTTTATGAACTTTCCTTACTTTCGCATTTATTTATGCAGCGGAAGCCATGAGCAAGATTACCGCCTCAAAGACTGCGGCTGCTATGTTGCGTGCATCCCTCATGCATCAACAATCTTCAGCTGACTCTCCCAACAAGGAGACGCCCTTAGTAAGTTTCCAGCTTTCACCTTTTCCCCTTTTTATGTTTAAGAGGTTGGGTTTATACATATACTAACCGTGTTTTTTTTTTTTTTTTTTTTTTTTTTTTTTTTTTTTTTTTGTAGACGGGCACACCAAGAACTTCCTCCTCCCAACAGCCGGACTCCAAAGCCCGGAAGAAGACTGTTGCGAGTTCTCCTGGTTCTGCCAGGAAACCTGCGGCTGCTGAGAAACAACCGGCCACTCCTTCTTAAACTCTAAGCAGGCCGCCTAGAAGTATGGAACTGCCCTTCTAGATTTGGACCTACTTCCCTTTTGCTTTTTCTAACATTCTTGTTTACGCTTGATGCAGCTGGCCCTTAGGAACCGGACCTTGCCGAAGTGGCCAAGTCCATGATCAAAGCCATCCCTCCTGCGGAGAGAGAGGCGGTCAGGGGTGTCGGTACCCTTGACCTGGATGGAATTGCAGGGCTTCTTGCTGAGGTTTAATTAGCATATTTTTGTTGTTTAATTCCAGGACGCCTGTTTTTTATTTGAAAACTGACGCCTGTGTTCTTTGATTCAGTCCCTACTTCGAGTAAACGGCCTTCGCAAGCCCCTTAATGCGAAGAACAAAAAGGTAATAAAGGCTGCTAAAGCTATGGCCGCCTCTGACTGTGATAAGGCAATGTTTCAAATTGCCCAAAATTAAATTTTGCCAACTGATATTCTTTATTATCAGGCGCAGGCCACTTCTGCTATCAGGG